TCTCATGGTTGGTTTTTCTGACTCTAGCCTGGATGCTGAAATTGTCTCCCGGCCCTACCCTGAGTCATCTGGTTAGCATAAACTCAGGTGTGGCTTCCGAGGTGGGGCTAGTGGTAAAGAATCCACCTGCCAGAGCAGGAGATGCAAGAGACGAGGGTTCGACCCCTGGGTCAGGAAGATCCCCGGGAGAAGGGAATGGCAACCCACTCCAGTATTCTTGCCTGAAAAATTTCGTTGACAGATGAGCCTGGTGGGCTACAGTCCATGCGGTTGGGGTTGCAAAGAGTGGTACACAACTGAGAATACACACACATACACACACAGGTGTGGTTAAAAAAAAAAAAAAAGGTCTCATGAATTTAAAAGGATACTCCTAAAGTTTATACTTTAAAAGAGGATAACTCAGGATATCCCATGAAGCTCTGTGCCAGACCAGAGAAAAGATCACCTACGTTCTTGATTATATCACAGTGGTCTGGAGTAGGTAGGTTCCAACTGGGACCGCCAACGATACCTATCTCCCCGCCCTGGAGCTGCAGGTAGCCCCCAAGCATAAGAGATGGGTCTGTTTCTGGGAATGGGAGAGGAACTGGAGATTGAGCTCAGTCATTTGTCAATACTTCAAAGCGAGCAGTCTTCTTTTGTATGTACAGAGTCTGTGCTATTTACTGTGTATCTATAATTTAATTAATTTATTTTTGCCTCTTCTGGATCTTCACTGCTGTGAGGGTGGCGAGCGGGAGCTCCTCTCCAGTTGCGGTGGGTGGGCCTCTCGCTGCGGGGGCTTCTCTCGTTGTGGACCACGGCTCTAGAGGACAGGCTCAGTAGTTGTGGGGCTCAGGCTTAGCTGCGCCTCGGTTCGTGGGATTGATCTTCCCAGATCAGGGATTGAACCCATGTCTCCTGCACTGGGTGGGGGATTCTTTACTACTGAGCCACCAGGGAAGCCCTGGGATATTTGTTTAAAAAGCCCATTACACCATTTTTAGTCCTATCTGATATCCTCCCCTTTTCAGTCCCCCTCTCTTCTCCTGAGAGCCAGACCCACGGGGGCCACAGCTCAACAGCAGCAGGTCCCAAGGAGACGAGGAATAGTCGCCAGACAGCAACTCCCGTTCTTCCCACCACCTCCTTCAGCATGACTCCTCGAATAAGTATGCAGAGCCATTTCCTTATTCTCCTGACTTCTAACAGCCCTTTCTCAACCTCGTATTTTCGCCAGTGTTAACTTGTGAGGGAAAGCTTGCACCTCATTTTGTGTGACTTACGAATTGCCACACATCAAATGGACATGTTTGATTCAGTAGCATACATTTCAATGTTTAAAATATGAGGCGTGTTCAAGAGATGCCATTTCACTTAGCAGTCAGTGCTAACATCATTTTTTTGAAATGCTCCCCATTTCCGTGATGTAGCCAAAGCTTTATTTATCATCAGATTTGCATTTTGTGATGTATTCTTAAGCCAGCCAAACTCATCTAAAAGCGAGCTCATTTAATGCAAAGTAGATTTAAATGTGACTGCTTTAAAATGGACCACCCTGTTTAAACGCTCCTCCGGATGTAATTAGAAGAAACTTGAGTTCCATAGGCAGGAAAAAAAAAAGGCAAGCTAAATGAGCTCCTTCTCCCTGGGTAATTTCTGACCACGCACCAATAAAACTGCTTATCAAGAAATGATTTATTTTAAATGTAACTTTCCCACAAACAGTTTAACAGGAGGTAGTTTAGGAATGACAACCACATTCGAATAGACATCCAAAATGAAAAAAATCATGTTTCCCACTTTCAGTACTCCTTGTCTCTTCAGACTGAGCGAAAAAGAGAAAAGAGGAAAGAAGGAAAGAGGGAAAGAGAGAAAAAAAGAAACACATGACGTAAAAAAAGAGAAAAAAGGAGAAGAAAAAATTGTAGGGTTATGAGACAGTCTAAACCCCAAATATTCAGAAACATCTTATTATCTCATGAGTGAACTAAGATTCTGTCGCTTAACTCCACTTACATCCCAGCCGCAATGACTGATGGAAATATTATCTGGGAGCTATTCACATAATACATCACCATCCAAGTAGGATCTGGTAGTATGAGCATGCTTGTCAAATCTCCCATCCCATACACTGAACCTCAGAACAGCACTGCCGTCTCCAGAGTCCTGGTGGATCCAAGCTGGGTGCCAGCCATTAAAAATAAAAGCCCGTTAAACTTTCAGGACATACTTGCACATTTTTGGGAGCCGCCAAGCTTTCAAGAGTTGAGCCAGTTCAGTGGTGATATCACCAGACCAGCGTCGCCTAGGCAATGAAAGTAGTTGCCATGGAAACCCCAGTGCTGCGCCCATCAACAGCTTTACAATTTTGACAGTTCAGAAAGTGACTATTTAGGAATTTCAATTAGAGCAGAAATATACACATTTAAGTGAACAAAATGCTTTAAAAGTCTATAGAAAATAATTTAGATTTTTTTTTTCAAATCAGAAGGCAGACCCCGAAATATATTCTGTGTGTGGAAGTGAATTTCGGGAATAATGTAAAAGGCACTCTGTAAAGAAGAAAAGATGTTAAAGTTCTTTTATCCCCCTTCCTTCCTTGGAAAGGAAATAGGCACCAAGAATAAATAAGTTGTGAAAAATGATCAGCGGATTTTTTTTTAACAGGGTAGCCACAATATGCCGTGCTTGTTAAGTCAGAACTCGTGCATACTATTAAGAAATATTTTAGAATTTTATATCTGCCAGTTCCTTATATTTGTTCAGTTCTGGCAGGGTATTCTTTTTCACAACTCTGCTGTGAGAGTTAGAACTCTTCTTTCCCTTTTATGTTAAGGGAAATTGAGGTTCGCCAGGGTGGGAGATGGTTTGCAAGCAGGGGAGTGCTTGAGATTCCAAATCAGGATGAAGCTCCAAGTGCTTTGGGCTCTGGTTGCTCTTTAATTCATGGGCAACGAAAACTGCCCAAATGTAAACAGTGATGTCAACATATCCTTCAAACAGGAAGCCATTTAAGAATAACACTCAAACCATAACGAAAGAAACAGGTCCTGTTATGAATAATAGCAATAGTGTTAATTTGCACTGGTTAATACGAATACCAGGATCATTGCTAAGGACAGCTATGCTAGTTATTCTTGGTTTGCCCCCTCCATCAGATGGGGGCCCCAGAGGCTGACCCCATGGGCAGCATCACCTAGTCCTGTCTGTCCTCTGCTTCTGATTGGCTCAGGCGATGGAGGCACAGGCAGGAAATCAGAGGTGGGAGGGGAGAAAGGTTGGTGTGTCTCCTCCAATCCCTGCGTCTTTGACAGCTCCTGCCTTGGACCCTTACTCTCCGTAGTCATGTCGTCATCCCTCATTGACTCCTGAAACCTGCCGCCACCTCTGTAAACAGTACCGACATTCAGTAACTCTAGTTAAACATTTTTACCATCTGCGTCCTGCCCAGATCTGACTTTTAAAATAGCAAACATTTTAAAATAGCAAACATTTATATAAATGCTTACTCTGTCTTTGCCACTATTCTAAATGCTTTGTGTACGTTAACTCTGATCTTTGCAATAACCCTATAAGGTAGGTGCTATTACTATGCCCGTTTTACAGATGAAAGGTTAAGGCAGGAGCTATTGCAGTGCTTTTCAAATGCATTATTTCCTTGGTCCTCATGTGTCACTTGCTGGGTGGGAGTTTGAAGTTAAAAGGGAAACTCAGGGCACTCTTGCCTCCTTGCCCAGAAGATTTTCTTTCTTCTCCCCATTCTGTCATGTATCTCTGGTTTTCTCCAATGGGAGGCATGGGATTCCATGGTATTATTTTAATCCTCAGCTCTGGCTTTCTGCCAGATGCCCTCACTTGGTGAACAGGGCTTTAGGTAGAAGAGAGTGGAAAAGCTTCATGGCCTCCTTTAGTTCCTAAGTCCTTGCTCAGAGTTGTAGTAGGAGTAGAATATGTGAATACAGGTTTGCTTAGCCCTGGTAAAGTGATTGTCAGGTTCCCTGTGATGTTTTTAATCAGACAACTAGAACTACTTTAGGGTGAGGGGAATAGGGAAGAGGGAGGGGGAGGTTCCACATGAAACCCCACTCCACGTTCTCTCCATCTCCACCTCAGGCTGCAGGTTACCCTTCTGGGACATTTCCTTCTGTTTCTTTCCCAAGGGTTTCTTGTTGTTCCTTTAAATTAGATGTTAACTTTTGGAAGAAGCCAGGGGGCAGAGCTGTGCTTCTGTAGGCTGTGATTTGTCCTGAGTCCATTTCTCCCATGTGGGTGGCCCTGGCCACTTTTATCAGTAATAAGAGGGATGCTCTGCACAGCTCCTCAGGGTCAGTTACCATCCTGGACATTGAAACAAACAATCAAAATTCCTGGCCTTAGAAGATCTTGACGGAAAAGAGGCATCTTATGCACTGTGGTTCTTCCAGAGTGTAGCCAGATACACCTGTCATATAGACATGCTCAACAGATAGTTGATGTATTAATGAGTGAAAAAGTGGATGAATCTTCTATTTATAAGTACATGCTTGTGGACAGAAATGAGCCACAAAGTACTGAAGAGGAAGACGTTGAGACAGGGGTCAATTGCCTGCTCCAGAGCAGATGTTCCTGACTGCGGAAGAAGGGCTGGGCTGGGCAAAGGCTTCCTTCTGTGTCTGCAGGACATCCCGGGACTTGGGGGTTGGGGCTCGCGGGTCAGGCTGGGAGGTCAAGGTGGGAAAGGATCATTCACAGCCCTCTGCTTTTCTCTCCAGATGGCTTGGAGCTGCCAGCTTGGGTCAGGATTCCAGAATCAATGATAGAGGACTGAAAGAGGGATACATGCTCAGACTCTCAGTCATGTTCAACTCTCTGCAACCCCATGGACTGCATCCCGCCAGACTCTTCTGTCTATGGAACTTCCCAAGCAAGAATACTGGAGTGGGTTGCCATTTCCTTCTCCAGGGGATCTTCCCGACCCAGGGATCGAACCCGTGTCTCCTGTGTCTCCCACATAGGCCAGCAGGTCCTTTACTGCCATGTGCATGCTCAGTTGCTTCAGTCGTGTCTGGCTCTTTGAGACCCCATGGGCTATAGCCCACCAGGCTCCTCTGTCCATGGGACTCTCCAGGCAAGAATACTGGAGTGGGCTGTCATGCCCTGCTCCAGGGGGTCTTCCTGATCCAAGGACCGAGCGCCTGTCTCCTGTGTCTCCTGCATCGCAGGCAGATTCTTTTCTGCTGAGCCACCGGGGAAACCTGAAAGAGGGACGGGCCACTTCTAAGACAGAGGGGACGGCCCGAGGCACGCGCAGCGTCGGGCTGCAGCCACTGAGCTGTATCCAAGGTCAAGCCACAACTTACAGCCCTGAGGTCAGCCCTCCACTTCTTTTCACACTCTCATTTCTCCAGTGCAGAGCTCACATTAGTGACCTTACTTTGTGACCAGCGTCACCCCAGCCCTGTCTCATGCATTTCGATGATGGTAACAGGAAGCTAGAGGCTTAGGCTCTCTGATGCTTGTTCTGCACGGTGATGACCTTACAGAATGCGATAGGCCACCTCCAGCCTCAGCCATGGCTGGTTAATGACCTACACGTCTTAGAGTCTCTGAGTGGGCATGGACCAGGGTCACAGCTTCAAAGCTCAGCCTGATCTGAAGGGCTGGAGGATCTCTTCCCATCATGGAGAGAGGTTATGTTGACCCTAGGGAATCTTGGTGAGGGAGTGCAATAGGGGATCAACCCTGCTTTAGTTTTTTTTCCTTCAGCAAGAGCTTTCCCTTAGAATCAGAAATTTGGGGGGAAAAATATATACATATATATATATATACACATCAAGAAAAGGAGAGAAGAAATACAGCATTACTTTGATATTCATGATGGTCACAGACCTCAAAACTGCCTATATCTCTGTCATCAAATTCTCCACGCAATCCTCATGTCCTTCTACAGTGCATCTTTCCAATATAGACTCTATCCTTTCTGTTTTCAACTGAGATGGGAAGAAATTATCAGTTAATCTTTACTTTTAAGCAGTCTTGAGGCTTTGGGACTTGAACAGCTTTAGGACTTTGGGGTTAAAACAATACCTTAGGACATTTTCTGCTTTTAAAAACCTTGCTTCTCCAGTGGCTCAGACTATAAAGAATCTGCCTGCAATGTGGGAGACTCTGGTTTGATCCCTGGGTCAGGAAGATCCCCTAGAGAAGGGAATGGCTACCCACTCCAGTATTCTTGCCTGGAAAATTCCAAGGACACAGGCGCCTGATGGGCTGCAGTCTATGGGGTCACAAAGAGTCGGGAAGGACTGAGTGATTAATACTTTCACTTATTAATACATATTATTTAAAGCATCTTCACCTTCTTATGTTTATCGTCTCAAATGTTTACAACTCTGTAATGCATTTAAATGTTCCTTTATTCCCAAAGCACCTTCAGATTCTGGTTCATGGTCACACCAGAGTCCCTGGGATGTAGGTCAGCTGAGGTACCAACCTCATCACTGTGATGCAGAGACCAAACCACAGACCCAATGCCACCAGCCTCCCTAGTGGTGGAGCAGGGTTTGAACATCAGTATGTGTGACTCCAAAGTGTATGCTTTTTAATTTACCATGCTGCACTGAGAATTTAAATTTCCTTTTGGAACATCTGGTAGACCTTATTTGTTAGTGTCACTGCAACCCCAGTCAACCAGCATTCCTTCTGTCATTACCAGGGAATGGGCTCTATGTTAGGTCAGGGAATATGGAGCTGGGTAACTCAACTCTAACTCAAGGAAACAGACACTCAAAGGAGTAGTTAGCAATGAGTCGTCTTCATTCTTCACCTACTTTAGTTTTGCTAAGAACTTTCAGAACCCATATTAGAAACATCCATGGGACACAGACTATCGCCCAGTGGGAGGTCAAGGAAATGTTTGTGAAGCAGAAGTAAAGAATTTCCTTGGCCTTAGCTAATTTCATCAAGGTTTATAGCCCAGCTTTAGATAGGATGCGACAGTGATCACAGATCTCTCTGTAGAAGCTATGACGTTAGTAAAATCATTGTGGGATTTTTTTCTTCTCTTGTGGGTGTCTTTGGGGACTTCTGCCAGATGAGTTTCCAGAACCTTCCATCCTTCTTTCTGCAACCTCTTAGTTCTAGAGTGAGACCTGCCTCAGAGCTGAATTTCTTTTTAACTTTTTATATTGGAAAAGTTTTTAATATGCTTGTAAATAAACAAAGAGAATAATGTTACCCTATGTCATCGTCCTCCATTACCCAATTTCCATTTGGTACTGATATGGCAGCACTCCTGTATCATTTCTCTCCCCCCCCTGCACTTCAGTGTTTTTGTTTGCTTAACATGATCTCATTTTGCTCCTAAGTACTTGGAGGAGGTTAACATTTCAGGCAGCAGTTAGGCTCCAGACAGAGCCCCTACCCCGCCTGCACAACATTCGTGAGTCCTCATTCTCATTCTGCCTGAGCTTGACGGAACTTTCTTTCTAGGGAGTTTTCATTATGGTCCCACTTGTTTAGTTAAATGACGTCTATTAATGAGTGTTGATTTTCACAATTCTTTCTCAATAGTTCTTACTATGTTTGCTTGGAGGACCTAGTGTTTTACACCTCCGCTTAAGGACAAGCCTGAATAGCTTCATTTGCTTCGAGAGAAAAGCAAAAGGAGCCAATCAACATCATGAATGAATGGAAGGAAAAAACAGTCAGAAATGCGTAACTGAAAGTCATTGAGTAAAGATGGGCACAATTTAAAAAACAGAGGGAACTTTCCCAAACATTGAGATAAACAGATACTGTTCACTGAACAGTGTGTACAGAGTTGCCTGCCAACCATTGTTAGTGTTGAATCACCAGTTTTTAGTACCAAAAATAACTTTGAGAGACTGAACTAACACTCTTAGCATTTCATGGATCCAGAGATATTGAGTCATTTTCTTAAGGTCACACAGCTTGCTTTCTGAAGCTAAAATCCTGAGCACCTAACCACTGTCCCACACCACCTCCAAATTCTGATGATAATGTCATGGGATGAAGACTGTTAGAGAACTTGGCAAGAGGGGAGCCGGACCCTAACACCTTTGACTGCTGATGTTTTCTTCAGGGAAAACAGTTGCTTTCTTTGTAACCAATGCATTCCACGTCCATACTACATCGTAGAACAGAACCACCTGTAGGGTAAGGAAGTCATCGTTCTCAAGAAAAAAGACCTCTCCATGGCATGCTTAGCTCTGATGTGAGAGTAGGGCTGTGATGATGTTGAAAGGCTCTCTCTACCCCAAGAAGGCAGGACTTGTTGTTGTTCAGTGGCTCAGTCATGTCCAACTCTTTGTGACCCCGTGGACTACAGCACATCAGATTTCCCTGTCTTTCACTATCTTCTGGAGTTTGCTCAAACTTGTGTCCATTGAGTCGACTGGCAAACTGCGACTCCTCTCCCACTGGTGGTAGAAAAATAATACCAGGCATGTATCTACCTGATGGCAGGGAAGGTGTAGCATCTAGAAAGGTGAGAAAAAAAAAAGACTCACTTAGCGTAAAAAAATCCAAGGCTATGGGTGTGGGAAAGCCCTTGGCTATAAGAAATCATCTTTGCCAGTTCTGCAGCCCTGACTCACTTCTTGTGCTTTCATGTTTGAGCAGCGTTTGTGTTGATGACGGGAACTAGTGGTTATCATCAAGAATTAACTTTCATTTATCCGTATAGGTATGGGGGGCCCTGGATAGTCCCTGAAGCAGATACAAGAAAGGGAACCACCCTCTGCTTCTCCATGCGTGGGGTACTAGATGCCACAGTTGGAGAAGAGAGGGAAATCGCTCCCTCTAATATGGGTTGTTGAACATTATGGGCTACCTCGGAATGAGTTAAGCTCTCTTCTGTGACTGACCATAATTCACTCCTGCAGCTCCTCTCCGAGGTCTCTATTTTTGAAATGACTAGAAACGCAGAGACAGGCCATCCTGGAATCTGTCACGGAGCCCCTCCCTGGATGAACTCACGTCCTCAAGGGCCAGGTGCTGCTTGTGACCTGTTCCAGGCAATACTCTTTACCCTAAAAAAAAAAAACCAAGCCTCCAATATTCCTGGCTTGCCATCTCCTGGGTAATTAAAGGGAGAGAGTAAATCACAGGCTGGAAACCAGTCCCGAGTGCTTAAGTGCGTGTCAGTCACCGAGACTGGCATGCGCACAGTGGAGGGGGCCTGGGGTTTGCATTACACACAACGCCCCATGAGATCATTAGGACTCCTTCAAGTCCACGGCTTTCTGGGTAGCCACAGCCCCTCCCGGTTGCCCAAGTAAAATGCAATCAGATTCGACTGGGAGCAAATTAGGGAGGCAAAATAAAGCGCGTTACTGAAAACCAGCAAGGAACTCTACTGTCTGCTATTAGAAAAATTAGAGACCATTTAACAACACGAGCCCATTTTGTGTTGGAAATAAAAGAGGCCCTGAATGGAGGGGGCCAGGCCAGAGCTGAGGGCCGGCGTCCAGGTGAGATCAAATAGGGATCAAGGGGCTGGCTCCGGGCTGAGCTGGGTTCACGTAAGTCCTTATTAGCTGATGAGCGGAGACTGCCCGGCAAACCAGATGTGTGAAAGTTGGCCAGGCACCAACTTTCCAAATCCATGACATGTTTTCTCAGTAGACTTCCTTGTATAATTTCCCATGAAAGAGGAAAAATAGCCCTGGCAGCATTTTCCAAAAGACTGGCACTATGTCAATTTCAGTCCTTTAAAACTTGGACTTCTAACAGGGCATCCAGAGCTGAAGTCCTGGCCAGCCTCTTTTCTTTTTTTCATATGTTTTTCTTCCCCACTTCCCTTTAGACCTCATAGTCACACCTCATATATTAAGATGCTAATTTGTTTAACATCTAGGTGCTGAGCATGAAGGCAGCACTAAACACTGAGGGATTGGGGAGCTACTGGGGAGCGCTAAGTGGGGGTGGGGGCCCCCCCGCAAAGAGGGAGAAGTACACAGATGATTTTCATTTCCTAACAGGCATTCTGCCTGAAAACCTGTACAAAGACCTGAAATATGTATTGCTCTAAAGACTGCGAATGTTTAAAATGTCATCTTAAATTAGTAAGTGTCTTTAAATCTTCACTCTTTTGTCACGTTTTAGTAATGTTTATTACACGCCATAAATCTTATTCATATCCACATAAATCAAGCCCCCCAGCCACAGGGAGACAAGTACTTCTACTGGCTGATTCTGAAATCCTACAGAGGTGGATGACATCAAATATTATGACTGAAAGAAAGGAATTCTCCAGAGCAAACTGGCTTGGGGAGAAGGAATAACAACCTTCTGCCTCCACTGGGGGGAAAAACTGTCATATCTCTAAAAGTCTGTTTAGTGATTTTAGAAGTTTGAGTTAATGGTCACATTTCTCACTCGAGTTTAACTTATTTTAAATAAGCCTGAATTCAGGTTG